TGGGACCTTCTAAAAATTAAATTTTTATGTGCTTCCAAAGACTTCTCCAAAAGAGTCAAAAGAGAACCTACAGATTGGGAAAGAATATTCAGCAATGACATATCTGACAAGGCACTTATTTCTAAAATTTATAGAAAACTCCAACACCTCAATAACAAAAAGACAAATAATCCAATTAAAAAATGGGCAGAAGACTTGAATAGACACTTCACCAAGGAGGATATTCAGGTGGACAAACATATGGAGAAATGCTCACAATAATTAGCCATTCGAGAGGTGCAAATCAAAACAACAATGAGATCTTGCCCTAGCACTAGTAGCAAAGTTCAACAAGACAGAAAATAACAAATGCTGGCAAGCATGCGGAGAGATAAGGACTCTCCTACACTGCTGGTGGGACTGTGAAATGGTACAGCCACTGTGAAAAGCAGTATGGCGATTGATTCCTTAAAAAGTTGGAAATAGAAATACCATTTGACCCAGCCATTCCATTACTAGATATATATCCTAAAGAAGTGAGAGCCATGACAAGAACAGACATATGCATACCCATATTCATCACAGCACTATTTGCAATAGCCAAAAGTTGGAAACAACCTAGGTGTCCCATCAACTGAGGAATGGATAAACAAACTATGGTATGTACACACAATGGAATACTATGCAATGCTAAAGAATAATATAGAATCTGCAAAACACCACAGAATGTAGATGAACTTGGAGGACCTTATGCTGAGTGAAATAAGTCAATCACAAAAGGACAAATATTGTGTTAGTCCATTATTGTAAAAGTTAAGGAAAGGTTTATCTATTGAAGGAAATTTTCTTTGTTGGTTACCAGGGGTGGGAGGGTAGGGTAGGGAACACTGTTAGATAGGTAGAGATAAGTATTGATTTGGGTGAAGAGAAGGGCAGTGTACCAAATGTGAGTGATCAACATGGTGGCATTGAGGAAGAGAATGACATAGAGAGGTACATGGGGAGGTGCAGACAACAAAGATGAACCCTTTTGCACATACAGTACTACGTTGTCAGTGAAGGCAAACACAGGTATACGGGTGGATAGATGGGTGGGCAGGCTGAACTATTAGGTATGTCTATGCAGCAGGAGTGTACCATGTATAGGGCTGGCAGACAATGGTTCTACAAGTGTATTTGTATGTTCTGTAAGAATTCCCAGGGATATAGTAGAGCTGACAAGGGACAAGGTTGTAGTTACTTCTTGGTCATAGCCAGCTACCCAGAGCAAGCAAGTAGTTGAACCTGTGGGCTCGGGACCATAGTCGCAGGGGACATCAAGCTCAATTGGTATAACATACTGCATAAAACATTGTTCCATCTCCTACTTTGGCGAATAGCAACTGGGATCTAAAAAGTTTGCAAGCAGCCATCTAGATGCAGCGATGGGTCTCTCCTTGTCCAGAGCTAAAAAGAATGAAGAAAACCAAAGATTCATGGAAACAATTAGTCCTTGAGACTGGTATACCATGTGATCCTCAGCCTATATGACTATGAGACCAGAAGAACTAGATGGTGCCCAACTACCACTGTCAACTACTCAGAGAGGGATCAATGTAGGAGATCCTGGATAGAGAAGGAGAATAATGTGGAACAAACCTCAAAATCATTTGGGGGGCAAAAAAAAAGGGAGACCAGGTTTGCTGGTCTGATAGAGCCTGGTGGAACCTCTGAGACTCTGGTCCCTAGCTGCCCTTCAAGTCCAGGATTGAGCCTACCCCTGTGGCTTTCAGCCATATAAAAGACAGGCATGGGAGTTGAACATGTACCTGAGGTAGATACATCCCTTAGAGAGAACAATCATGGGAGAAAGAAGGGCTATTTATACATAGGGAGACAGTTCAGGGGGCAGGAGTGCATGGAGGGATGGACACAGGGAAGAGGTAACTATTGGGAGGATGTGGGAGGGGAGGTGTTATATTGGGGTAAATTATCAATGTCATGAGACAATGTGTATGTTAACTGCTGTATGGAAAGTGAATTTGTTCTGTAAACTTTCACCCAAATCACAATAAAAAATTTTAAAAATTATTAAAGAATTCCCAGGTATATAGGAGAGCTGACAAAGGACAAGGTTGTAGTCACTTCTTGGCCACAGCCAGCTACCCAGAGGGAATGAATGGTTGGACCTGTGGGCTCGGGACCATAGTCACAGGGAACATCAAGTTCAGTTGGCATAACATACTACAGAAAATGTCGTTCCACATCCTACTTTGGTGAGTCCAACTGGGATCTAAAAAGCTTGCAAGCAGCCATCTAGATGCAGTGATGGGTCTTTCCTTATCCAGAGCAAAGAAGACTGAAAAAAAACAAAAGATTCATGGAAACAATTAGTCCAAGAAACCGTTATACCATGCGATCCTCAGCCTATACAACTATGAGACCAGAAGAACTAGATGGTGCCCAGCTACCACTGTCAACCACTTGAGGGATCTAAGTAGGAGATCCTGGATAGAGTGGGAGAACAATGTGGAACAAAACTCAAAATCATTGGGAAAAAAAAAAAAAGGTTTGCTGGTCTGATAGAGCCTAGTGAAACCCCTGACTATGGCCCCTAGGTGCCCTTCAGGTCTGGAATTGAACCCATTCCTGTGGCTTCCAGCCAAACAAAACACAAGCATATGAGGTGAACATTTACATTAGGTAGATATACTCCTTGGAGAGAACAATCTTGTGAGCATAGAAGGGCTGTGCATGCACAGGGATACAGCTCATAAGGCAGGAGTGCATGGAGGGAAGGACACAAGGAAAAGATAACTATGGGGAGGAAGTGGGAGGGGAGCTGTTGCATTATGGTAAATTCTAGTCAGTGTCATGAGATAAAGTGTATGTGAGCTGCTGTATGGAAAGTGAATTTGTTCTGTAAAGTTTCACCCAAATCACAATTAAAAAAAAGAAAATGTAAAAAGCGTATCGTACAGAAGAAAAAAAATCATCAATGTACTACCCACTTATAAACTAGTATATTGTAAAAAAAAAAAAAAAGTTAACTAGGAAAAAAATCTACCTTCAGCATTA